ATCCCCCCCCCCCGTTGAGCTGATCGCATGTCCTGTCACTCATTTGTTTTACTGTCTGGTAGCTTACTTAACGTACTTATTCTCTGTCTGTTCCTGGTTTTCCTGATTGGTTTCAAGATATTGACAAATTAAATGTGTGTCACAATTTTCGTCCATCCTTTTTGTCCGTCTGGATCTTTTTCAGTTGGGAAATTGTAGATAATGAAAAGGAGGGATACAATGCTTTCATTAGAGCGATTAGACATTTTATCACTTGAGATGTACAGTCTTTTAAGTAACGCCTATGGGCTTTAAGGCATACAGTTAAGCATACATTTATGAACTATGATACAAAACCGCTTGTTGTTTGGTATCCTCTTATTTTTATTAGACTTTTTTTGTCATGCATGCACAGTTGAGATCTGCAAGTGGCAACAGTTCTCCACTCATGACTTGGAACCTCGGCTGTGTGAAGATCCGCCATTTTCAATTCGTTTCACAGAAGTGCTAGATTTGGTGACATGGTGCTGTCACCATGAGTTTAAAACCCAATATTCTTTTGAATGGGCGCTCACTTGTTTCTACGGCTTACCATGTACCACTCCCTCAGCCCAACCCCAGTCGTCGAGATAACACAAGAAGAATATTTTTCCTGGAGTAAAAGGTGAACGTGAGCAACGGCTCATTTGCATGAGGCATAACCGTTATGAGTAACTACGTAATTTGAACCAGGGTGATAAAAATGGATGTTCACTGTGCTGCAATTCTTAATCCTTTCTTTATTTTGGCTGAAAGAGAAGAATGTAGAAGCAGTTTTAGTGACGACGCTTGGGAACTGTTAAAAATGAAAAATGCATCATAAAGTCTCCTCGAAATGACATAATGACTCTGTGAAGGCTGCGAAGTAAAACGATGAGTATGTTTTAGCTCAGCCATACATGTAGCTCGAGCCCCGTGCAGAAGGAAAAAATGCCACAAGTCATATCTCAACACTAGGGATATAACGAACAGAAAGTGACCAACAACACAACATGCATTCTTAATACCGCTACCCCACAAAAAGCAAGAGCTCCGTCAAGCCAGGTGATTAATGACTGCTGTCCACTGGGTCTAAAAATCACACTAGAAAGACTCCGGTTCACCAAACACCAGGAATTCCACCCGGGGACATCCAGTAAAGTCAACTATATTATTACACAGCAGTGGGGAGCGAGGAAGGAAGTGTGAGAATGGAAGCACTAACGCTGACGTGTGCAACTCGGATGGCAACACAATTTGATCAGGTCCGACAGATATTATTACGCGATCGAAAAACTTAAAGAGTGCAGAGCAGCATTAAAACAAAGCGATGTAACAATTACAATCACCGAATGCGGCCTTAGAGTTGTTAGTACAGTTGGAACATGCATGGGAGAAATGAAAGGGGAACGCACAGAGCGGAAACGGAAAACTTTTAATCACTCGGCCAGTGGCAGTTGCATACAGTGAGGCTGTCCTCTACCTTAAACATTGTTAAATTAATTACAGTTCAGGAGGAATACTCATGGCGGGGGGACTGGTGTGATGTTGGTCCGAAGGATGGAACGTAAAATACACAGAAAAAAACACAAGCTCGGCACGTCAAACTGGATATGACGGGCAGTATAATAAGCACATTCAAGCATCCTTTTAATAGGCTGATGAAATTTTATATGTATACATTTTAAACGTATTTATAGTAATGCCCCTTGTAGATACTGTTCACCTATTGGATGTTGACGCGCATTTGAATTTGCATTTGATTAGTAAGCTAAAAGCACACATTTTCAAATGAAATTAATTGCATGGGCCATGATCGCGATGATATTTTTTCGATCTGTTGTGCAGCTCCGCTGTCCAGCCCACTCGTCGGGCCTTCAAAGTTCTCTAATCAGACAGTTGTCGCTGTGCACAGTACAGAATCGTTTTCTGTACACCGAAATATGTAAAATCATGTTGGGGTGGCAAAATATTGTCACAACTCTTAAAAGGGAGATGGGCCAAATGAACAAAATTTCCAGGTGTCTTAATGCATTCTTCGATCAAAAATTCATTACCCCCACGTGACAAGCTTCCCATTGGTCTTGTCATTCTGTCTGACACAGTTCACCCACTGTTATATGGGGCCAATGAGCTTTCATTCCCCCCTGAGTTCATATTTTGTAGAATCACATTTCGCTGCGATTACGGCTGCAAGTCTTTTGGGGTATGTCTCATTTTGCACAAATCAAGACCGAAATTTCTGCACAGCTCCAGCTCGGGTAGATTAGTCAGAGTGTGAACAGCGGTTTTCAGATCTTCCCACAGATTGTCAATTGGATTCAGGTTTGGACTTGGTTATTCTAACACCTGGATATGTTTAGTTTTGAACAATTCCATTGTAGATTTTGAGGATCATTGTCTTGTTGGAAAGTAAGCCTCTGGGCCAGTCTGAGGTCTTTTCCAAGTTGCCCCTGTATATGGCTCCATCCGTTTTCCATTCAGCTATCTTCCCTGTCCCTGCTGACAAGAAGCATCCCCAGACCATGAAGCTTCCACCGCCATGTTTGACAATGTGGATGGTGTTTTCAACCAGTGTTACTTTCAGGCCAGACATCAAGTTTTGCATTTAGCCCAAAATGTTGTTCTGATCTGACAACGTAACTTTCTTCCACGTTTGTTGTGTCTCGGGACTTTTTATGGCTGTCTTTGAGCAAATGGCTTTCTTCTTATCACGCTTCTATAAAGTCCAGATTTGCGCAGTGTGCGACTAATAGTTGTCCTATGGGCAGAATCCCCACCTTGGCTGTGGATCTTCAGCGTGATCATGGGCATCTTGGCTCCATCTCTGATCAGTGCTCTACTTGTTTGGGCTGAAATTTTAGAGGGACAGCCTTGGTAGCGTTGTAGTGGTCTGAAGCTCTCTCCATTTCAATATGATTGATCGAACAATGCTCTGCCAGAGGTTTAAGCTTGTGAAATCTTTTCCTATCCTTATCCTGCTTTAAATTCTCCACTTTATCCCGGACCTGCCTGGTGTGTTCATTGGTCTTCATGACGCTGTTTCTCCGCCAATATGCTTGGACCTGTGAGACCATCACAGAGCAGGTGCAACAATTTTAAATACCGTATGAATTTCGCTCCCATTCGTGATAGCATCCCACCAAAAAAAGAAAAATAATTTTTTAAAAAATTAAATCCAATTTTATATTCCTTGTCTGAAATGTGACAAAAGGTCAAAAAGTTCAAGGAGGGCCAAATACTTTCGTAAGCGACTGTACTTTCGACACCATTTGTATTCTGTAGATTTAACCTGGGCTGCGGCCTGGCAGTTTTCCGTGTCGAGAGCAACTTTAGGTCGAATGTTGTAGTTTGAATGTGGCTCCCTCTTCACCTTCGGTGCATATGTTGCCTCTTAAGAGACATGAAACTGTTGAATCCCTGGAACAATAACCGCTTTTCATTGAGCTCACAGGTTCTGCTTGTTGGCCTCCTACACCTATTATTCATTCGTACAATGTGCCTGCCTTAGCCTACCCCAACAGTTTGGCTTTTGGTATCAGCAAAGTAAGATTAATTTGTACATCCATACTTTACATTAAATATATATTTTTTTTTTATTTACAATGATTACTTTTCTATTCGAGGCGGGATCTAAGCGCTGTCTGCGCTTGCTGTTTCAATGGCTGGGCACTGTTCTCAATCAAACACTGAACATCTGGATCACATCTCTCCGGATCACCCCCAAGCTGTAGCTGGGCTCGACACTCCAATGAAAAATCTGGGCAAAAAATGACGTTAGGGGCCACTAACTTCAGACGATCAGTCCAAGCGCCAAACGGCCAATTTTCACATCCTATTTGCATACAACTGAAGAGTACTTTTAAACAGTGGCCTGTTCCCAAATACCGGAGAACAATATAATTTGGTTCAAGCCTTGTCTTAACTGACACAGTTAACATAAGTCACGAGTGTATTTGAAGCCAGCATTGATTTACACCTCATACAGGAACAAAAAAAAATCTCTTACTTTTACAATAGCTTAAAAATGTATTGAACCATTTGGAAGGGTGAAAAGTCTCCCATGTTTTAATCAGGGCTCTACACTGAACTTTCACTTTGCGGCGCTCCTGCACCTGCCTGGTGCCTTCGGTCTACGGAACAGAAGCTCCTGGAGGTGCCGAGGCCTAAGCGGGGCCTCAGAGGGGATCGAATCTTTCCTGTTGCCGGTCCTTCCCTCTGGAATGACCTTCCGTTAAATGTGAGGCAAGGCCCCTCCGTGTGTATTTTTAAAACTCATATGAAGACATATCCTTATTCTTTTGACCCAATAAGAGACTGACATGGGTCCATTGTTTTCCGGTATCTACTGTATATGAGTTAGGATCATCCATTTATTTTTTAATTGACCGTTTTCACTTTTTTCTTGTTATCTAATGTGCTTTGTTACAGCTGCATCTGTTGTGACATGCGCTACGTCACTAAAAACCTATTTTGTATAGTATACACTTCTACAATCATATCAAATTATAAAATTCTCACAATAGGTTAGAAAGAATAATTCAAGAACCCTCACTGCGGCAGGAATCTAAAATAAAAATGAAACAACCGGGCCCTAATTGAGTAGGCGACTGCAATAGACTGACTGCTCGCTAATCCCACCACACTTTGAGAACCCAATCTCATGCCACCTCACTTATCTCAATTGGCTGCCTCTTTCCGACACTTTAATCACCTGCTTTTTTTTTTTGTAACATTGTTGAAGCCGGCTTGGTGCTTTCCGTCTGCCCACACATCATTTTGCATTGTGAGGACGCCCCGCTAGGGCCCCTGGGGTCATAAACGCGTACCAGGGGCGCGGAACTTTCCTGTAGCAATGACCTGACTCTTGCACACCAAAGGGCACTCGGAGAATTGTTGTGTCTGTCAAGCATACAGCCTAAAAGTTTATTTTTGATGCTGGACTCTGGTGTGAATATCCTGCATGGAGGAACTAGAAATGCATACAGTGAAGCGAGCCCCCACCCCTGTCACATGGGAGTTTAAAACAACCGATTCTGCCCAGCTGTTGTCATGACCTAATCACACACACCGCGATGGTCATTCAATCACCGGGTATGATAATGTCTCATTTTTTTTTCCTCATACACTTACTCCCAACTGTTTGTCTTATTATGGATGACAAATGTGGATGGAGTCAATGTTTATCTACAAGCCAATCCCTTATTGTAGAATCGGTTGTGTCATGTGGTTTTGAATGAATTCACAGTACTGAAGTGTTTCAGGTTTATCTGAGGGGGGCTGGTTCTAATACTTGGAAAAAAAGTGACACTTGTCTGTGCTTAAAATGTACATCTTTTAAAGACAATACATACATAGTTTGGGTGCCTGGTATAATCGATGAAAGGGTGCACCTCATGCAAGTGGAAATCGTACTTGTAAACTGTAAATGTTCACTTACTGAAAGGAGCAAATAAGTCAGTGTGTAAACAAAAAACAAAAAAAACAAAAGGATTTTATGCTGGCAAAATTTCAGCGCCGTTAGCAACATGCAGCAAAGTAATAATCGGAAAAGTGTTTGAAAAGCTTGCAAAACAACATTGTTGAGGGATTGAAATGAGACGAATGACTGGTATATATATATTTTTTTCTGGACAGCCATGTGGATATAATTGAAAAAAAAATGTGAAATAAAAAAGGGACATTTCTTAAAAATGCTTAAGATCAACCTACAGCCTGGCATTCAACTCAATGAAACGTAAAAAAAAACTGACTGGAGAGAATAGCATGGTGTTTTTCTTCTTTTGTGAGAAAATAAACAGCCTGAAAAAAAACAATGAAAAAAAAGTTTGCACATTTCATCTGAATTCTCAGATGATTTGATTGCTCTGTCTACCGTTTATCTGTCTAGAGGAGTCACTGATTATGATCGTTATAGTGTATACATAAAAGATTATCGCACAGTATAGATAAACACATATGATGCTAATTATATATATTTTTTTGTGATCCAATGACAACACGGAGCAAAAAATATTTGCCAAACCCAAAGTGACATTAATTTACAGACAATAGATTAGTGGTTAGGAAAATTGCTTGAAAATTGCAAACCATCAAGCGTTGACAAAAAACAGATACCAATACCTGTATATACTGTAAATGGACTCCTGAATGACATCTTTGATCAAATATACGGTTGTTTAAAATCTTAAGTGTTTGGAATTTGACTGAAAATGTATACTTTGTGGTTTACTTACTCTCTCTCCTTCTCAGTAAGTCGATCAGTGATGGTGTCTTTGATGGAGGAGCGTGAACCCTTGTGGATGACTGGATACCTAAGCGGGATCTGCAGGAAGCACGAGATCATCAGGACCAAGTGTGCTGTGTAGCCCAGGGCAACTGCCACACTTCCGTCATCCTTTGCTGCAAGGGGGGAGGGGGGAAACAAAGACAATCCAAGACTGCGTTAAACTGAGATGCTGTGATTAAAAAGTGCCCAATATTTTTGGTGAGTGGTAACAACGAATCAAAGCTAAAATTTAAATGAAGCAACATGCCGATCCCAAGTGCCTGTATTTTTTCATATCCAAATTTTTGAAGCAAATAGTCATCATTGTCTGATTTGGAGAGCTTTTCTCTTTTTGAAAAATATTCGAATGTCCATATAGTGAATAACATCAAACAAGAAGGACATTATTTTTGCCCCCCCCAACATTAATATTGAAAACATTGCCCGAGCAGAACATGCAATTACTTGCAGACATGTGCTTAAGATGGGAAAATGTTTGCATGAGTACAATTACCAAGTGAATATGACAGAAAATTGAATGGAGAAGAGGCAATATTTAGAAAGAGTATTTCATCAAATAAGGCTGTCAGTGGAGTGGCAGCACTTACATAGATTATTAGACCAATACGAGACCAGATGTTGTTCTTTAAAAGTGAACCATTCCACCAAAAAAATATTATAATAATAAAATGTGCTCAGAAACATCTGTAACTCGAATTGCATTCAAAAAAGTGCAAATTTCAACAAACTGGCTCAGAAAACAATTTGCATACCTTGTTTCGTAATCTCAAAATAAATTGCTTTGCTTTCAATAAGCCGCACACACACACACAAAAAAAAAGGCTCATTTGAGTGCTCTTGGGCAATGGGAAACAAGTAGATGAATATCGGGTCAGCTCAGTTGGCTCAGAAAACAATTTGCGTACCTTCTTTCATAATCTCAAAATAAATCGCTTTGCTTTCAATAAGCCGCACACACAAAAAAAAAAGCTCATTTGAGTGCTCTTGGGCGATGGGAAACAAGTAGATGAATATCGGGTCAGCTCAGAGGCAATTAGCCACGGGCAAACCTTAAGGGTGCAACAAGAGACCGATTGACCTTGTCAAGCTAAGTTGACAAAGAAAGCTTGGTTGAATGTTAGGAAGTGATGTGCCTTCATGCAGAATCACTTTGCTGGCGAGCAGGATTAAAGGCTCTGAATGACCCTGACCCTGGGTTCTAACGTGGAACATCCACCCCCGTAGGCCAGTATAAACTAGCTAACAATTCTGGACTTGATGTGGCTCTCTGGGGGTAGACCTCACACATTTTAGAGGAGGGGTCATGAGGTAAAAATGGAATTGAATGCATCTTAATAAATGTCTGCATGTGGCAACAAAAGCATATGTCTCAAGTGAGGAAGGACATATTACATTCGTGTAAGATAAAATTCCATGGGAGCCACAAACTCTTTGAAAATCTAAAATGAATATCAATATTTTTTTTTCTTACTTTTTCTTGTCAGTTCTGAAGTAGACAATTGTTGAACCGGGTCGAAGCGATACGTCAGCCCACCCGCCATATTGTACGTGGCTTTATATTAGCCATAAATTCGGCAAATAATATTGTAAAACTGAGCTCGGATAACACCACACAATCAAAAGCAATAATTCCGTATGATTCCGGTGAGTTTTTGCTTGAGGATACATCTCCATGGAAGAAGCATCTTCACAATTTGCTTCACTTTGCCACAACCAGTACGGCTGTGGCGTCGGCGTATTCAAGAAGGCGTCTCTGTATATGCAATGTAAATGTTGTCTATGATAATACTGGCTTGCGGTTGTCGCAAAAGGCGGCAATTCAAGATGGCATCGGCAGTGCGACGCGAACATATAGAGCAAAGTAAGTGCTTTCTGTGGGGTATTAATTGCCACCCCCATGTATTGCACGTGCCCTCCTGAAGGCGGGGCTCGGGTGACGGGTCTGCCTGCGCCGTTAGCCTCTCTTCCACAGTGTCATGCATGGAGGCATTTTTTTTTGTCGGGTGGGGGGAGGGGGGGGGACTGAGACCGAAGCGCTTTAGAGGATGAGAACGGACAGGGACGGAGGATGATTAGTATATGAATAAGGACGGAGGGACAATGAAGGAAAGGTGCCCAGGTCGCGGACAGAGGACAGATCGGCAAAATAAGGTAAAGTGTCCATCTCTGCTAATGGCTTAGTGAATTCTAGAACAGTGTCTCTGCCATTGCTTGCTCTGTATTTCCAAACAGGTTACAAGTAACTATTCCACGTGTACAGGTATTTGCCGTCTCAACCAATTCAAAGTCACCCAGTTGATGATAAGTGACAGTGATGGACAAGAGTAGTGTTTGTATTTTGCGTTTTTTTTTTTTTTTTTTAAATGCGTATTGGCTTGTGAGCCTGTACACGGATGCCAAAGAGTCATGTTTATTGGTAAATGGTTACACATCCAGTCGACCCCCAACAGTCACTGGGGATAGGAACCAGGGTGACAGGCGAACAGCGAAGATGCGGATGTAACTCACGGCATTGAATTGCATTGGGGGGAAAAAAACAAAACAAGACAAAACAAAACATAAATGAACATTCAATAAATGTTTTCCTTGACAAATGGGTTGGGGAGGGAGGGGGTTGGGGGGCAACCTATTTGGTTCAATTGGTGTTAAGCATCTGTATTGGCAAGCAGGTAAGGAGTCCAAAGACATGTGTGGCCTACAGTTAAGCATGATGCTGGGAGTGCCGCGGTCTGAGGTTTCACAAGTGCTGCTGGCACTGGGGAGCTACGCTCCATTGAGGTGAAGCAGAGCGTGAGCCCTTCACTTCGGAAACTGTGCAGCAGGGCAATATTCCAATATGATGATGACGGCAAACACACCTCCAAGATGACCACTCCTTTGCAAAAGAAACTGAGGTTAAAAGGTGACTGACCAACTATGTGATGTCATCATAGGGCAGTGTTTCTCAAATAGTGGGGCGCGCCCGCCTGGGGGGGCGTGAGGCTCCGTCAAGGGGGGCGTGTTTGACCTCGGGGAACATGCTTTTTTATTTTTTTTACTGTCCTAAAATAATGTGCAGTTGTACCTCCACTATGTTAGCGGGCAGTGGCGCTCTCATTGGCAGAATTTGCGCAGGGAGAATTCTCGGGGAGGAAATATGACAAGGCGTATGTAGCGCTTGGCTTCAATGTGACTGCGGTGGCAGACGAGGAAAGATTGATGTGCTTAAATTTTGGTAGCGGACAGAATGAAGCCAACCAAATAAATTAAGGCGTCACTTAAAGACATTACACCCCAATCACGCTGATAAGCTGCTTGAGTTTTTTTCAGCGAAAACTTGCTGAATATTGCCAACAATCATGCCGCTTTGTGACTGCTACTTCAGTAAAATAAAATACAGGTTCCGGCTACACATTGAGCAGGAGCCGAGTATTGCTGTGTCCTGCTTCAAACCTCACTTCGAAAAGCTGTCAATTGCAAAACGTGCTCATTGTAGCCATTAATTATATTTCTGTTTTGCTGGTTAAAGTTGTTTTTAATATTGTGCTCCTGAGACAATGTTGGTGATTAGTTTGAATGCATTATTAGTTATTATTAAATTAAGGATTCAATGTTATTTCTGAATTTCAGATGCACTTTAAATCTTTTCTGTTCCAGTTACTAAAGCTATTCTTTGTTTTAAGTTGGTCCATATTTCTTTCTTTTTTTATTCTCTTATACGTTAATAAGGATACAGTGTTATGCAAAGGTGTACTTATAACAATTTTATCGACAAATTATACTATTTATAGTCATGCGAGTGGGGGGACGAGGGGGGGGGGCGAGATGTTTTCCTCTTCCTTGGGGGAGGCATGACAGAAAATAATTGAGAACCATTGTCATAGGGGAAGGAAAGGGGATTCTGGTAGTAAACCCCATTCCCAAGAACAGGCCAAACAACATATTGACACTTTGCCCCCAAATTTCATATTTTCGCTAAGGAGTGTACTTTTTCCCCCCCAGTACATTTGGTGTATTGAGCTATTTTTATGGACCATAGAATTACAGTTATAGCAGCTGTTCACTAGCTACTGAACATTGGAAGCAATGTGTCATTTCTTCAATTTTGTCCCATCAAATGATACAATAACATATTTAGAAACATTGGAGGTGCAATATATATATATAAATCGAAAGGTGTATAAATAGATAAGTACAGTACACATAAGGGTAAAAGTATTTGATGATATGTAGATTTCTTCCTTTTCTTTGGTATTGAAAAATGATCAATACACATTATTACACAACAAGGGGTAGGACTAGATAAGTTGTATACTTCTTCCTACTCCTTTGAGCATATAACTGTGATGATGGTTGTTTTACTTACTTTTATTTTTTCCTTTTATGACTTTTGTTTGCATTTTGTCAATCTGTTATTGTATGTTCTATATATGTTCAATAAACATACAATACAATACAATCTCACTTTTGTGAGATATTGTACTGGAAAGCCAAAGGTATTTGACTACGCCTACAAGAAGGGAAAATGGAAGAAAAATTGTTGTTTTCCCCTTTGCAGATATGACCGCTTCCACTCTTCTGCTAAGACAAGATGTTGGAGTGTGACTTTGTGGGAATTTTATCCATTCATCCAGAAGAACATTTGTGAGATGCTGGACCAGAGCTGTGGGCCAGATGGCTCATAATCTTTGCTGTAGTTGATCCAAAAAGATTTGAAGGTTTGGTTGAGATCAGGGCTCTCAGTTCTTCCACACCAAACTCATCCGAGCGTGCCTTGACGGATCTTGCTTTGTGCACTGGTGCACAGCTTTTCACAAGCAGTACTCAATACGCAGATACATATCCAATTAATGTCCACTTACGAAAGAGGCTTGGGTTGCATTTGAAAGGAAAAAAACGAAAAAGAAAAAAAAAACAGAATTTTACTGTACACTGTTGTATTGTAAAAAAAAATATAACGTATTTTCCGCACTATAAGTCGCACCCAAAAGCATTAAATTTTCTCAAAAGCCGACAGTGCGCCTTATAATCTGATGTGCCTTATATATGGATCAATATTCAGATTTTTTGGGACGTAGTATTTTAAATGTTCTGTAAAGTGCTTTGCTACAGCTGCAGCGGTTGGGAAAACTCTGCAGAAAATAACACTGTATTATATTGTATTCCTTTAGTGTAGCTCCATCTAGTGGATACATACCGCAACCAGAGCCATTATTGTAGCTTCTATTCTATGCGCGCTATAATGCAGTGCACTCTATGTATTAAAACAGTTTTCATTCACTCAAGGTGCACCTTATACGCCGAACCACCTTATAGGGCAGAAAATACGGTATCTCATATACCAGACACTGGGCAACAAAAATCTGAATTGGGTTTAAATATGAAGTAATGCAGTGCACTCTATGTATGAAAACAGTTTTCATTCACTGAATTTGATTGAATTTCATTCACCTTATACTTCGAACCACCTTATAGTGCAGAAAATACGGTATCTCATATACCAGACAGTTTGGGCAACAAAAATCTGAATTGGGTTTAAATATGAATATAGTCTTAGACTAATTTGGAAAAGTGTAAAAATTATGCAATTAAGAATTAGATTTTTTTTTTTTAGGAACAGTATTACA